TGCGAAGCATGTGTTACGGAAGCGGTCGGTGGCAATCCAGTGGTCACCGGATTTTTTCTTTTTTTTTTGGGTGGGGAGGGGGTAGAGGGGTGGAGTGTTTGGCCAAAGCTTATTTTGGGGTCAAAAGTACTTTTTTTTTTTTTTCCAAAAGTGCTTTTGGCAAAAAGTTGAGATGTTTGACCAAGCTTTTAGCAGGAAAAAAAGTTATTTTGAGAAGAAGCAGAAGCAGTTTTTGATAAGCAAAAAAATGTAATTTCTCTCCAAAATCACTTTTCCCAAAAGCACTTTTGCAAAAAAATAGATTTAGAAGCAGTTTTCAAAAGCTTGGCCAAACATTAATTACTGCTCAAAAGTACTTTTCAAATTAATTAGTCAAACACAAACCGATATGGACGTTCATGGTTCGGTTTGGGTCGGTCTTTTCTAAAAAGAAACCAAACCAAGTAAGTCGGTTTTTAAAATATTGGAACCAAACCAGACCAATTAAGTCGATTTTTTATCGATTCGGTTTTTGTCCGTTTTTGTTGGTTTTTCGGTTATTTATCGGTTCTTTTCTTAAATATGAGACAGACACTACCAAACGCATATTTCGGCGACTAGATTTTCAACATAACACAATCAAACCAATTGTTCTTTGAGAAATCTGTCATTTACTAAGATATATTGATGATAATTAAATCAAATAGTGATGAATAATTTAAGTACTCAATTAAAAATTGATTATTTTTAACATGAAATAAATACTTGTACTTAGCAAACGAAAACTATAAATCAAACTAGAATGTAAATGCAAAGAATTAGATTACTATAATGTTAAAATATCATGGTATAGCCAGTTTTCACACTGGTCAATGAAAAATAGCCAGCATTTACCAAGTCAATGAAAAATAGCCACTATTTTGCTGCAACAGGGACCGGTCCAGTATAATATACGGGAGTTCTGGTGCATTTGTGTACGAACTCCAGCATATTATGCTGGACCGGTATACTTTGCTAACTCCTGTAAAATTTGCGGGAGACTGGAGCACCAGTGCTCCAAACTCCAGTATATTATACTGGACAATTATACTTGCTGGAACTCCCGTAAAATTTACGGGAGTTCCAGCATAATTATGCTTGAACTCCCGTAAAATTTGCGGGAGTTCCAGCATAGTTATCCTGGAACTCCCGTAAAATTTGCGGGCGTATTTTTCAGGATTTTGAACAGTGTTTTCGCTCAGATTTAAAGTTTGGCTATTTTTCAATGACCAGTTGTAAATCTGGCTATTTTTGAATAGGGGGAGAAATTCAAAATCAAAACCAGACCAAACCTAGAAAGTATCGGTTTTTTTTTGGTTGGTTTGGTTCGGTTTTTTGGGTTTTTATAAACACCCCTACAAACCGATTCTCACCAAAAGTACTTTTTTAAAAAACACTTTTGATAAAAGCACTTCTCAAAATAGCAAATTTTAGAAGTTTGGCCAAACAGGCTCGAAACGGTAAAATGAAAAATGGAGGCGAAAAATTCAAAAATGGCTAGTTTTTCGCCTGGTCAATCAAATGTAGCCACATAATCACAGGTCAACGATATTTAGCCACTAATTTAGTGCGGTAACATTTTGTTGACTAAAATACCCCTGCTTTTTTTATTAATTTACGCGACTTCACCTTAAATTCTTCTTTTAGCAAAACTTAACAAAATCTTCCGACATTAATTTTCAAATCGAGTTATTAGGAAAATTTTTGCCGTCAATCTGTAAATCGAAATATTAGCAAAATCTTTCGGTGTTAATTTGCATAATCTTCCGGCGTTAATTTGCAAATCGAAGTGTTAGCAAAATCGTTCTGCGTCAATCTGCAAATCGAAGTTTTAGCAAAATTTCCGTCGTCAATCTGCAAATCGAAGTAAGTTCTATCTAAAATTTGTCTGATTATTTAAATTTCTTCTACGATCAAGAATTCAAACCATAAAATTCAAAGCATCAGTAAAAAAATTTAATTTTTCGAATTTTTGATTTGTTTTTAATGCTTTAATCTGTGTTATTGTCTGATTTTCTCAATGTAGAACATAGCGCCAGTATAATTTGTTGGACGTTTCTAAATTAATATCTAAAGCGAAGATTTTTCCAGCTTATTATACTGGAAATCTCATAAAAAAAGCATTATAATTCACTTGAAGTATGTTTCGTTAATGTAGATATTATGTTATAATATAATTGAGTTTTGTTTGAATCCAGTATATTTTACGGGACATCACGTGTGTGTAAGCTTTTCCTCCAATATGTTAATACTGGTATAACTTCTAACACTAGAATATAATTGAGTTTTGTTTGAATCCAGAATATTTTACGGGACGTCACCTGTGTGTGAGCTTATTCTCCAGTATGTTAAACTGAATAAGTTCTAAGACAAGAATATAATTGAGTTTTGTTTTAATCCAGTATATTTTACGGGACATCTCATGTGTGTAAGCTTATTCTCCAGTATGTTATACTGGATAATTTCTAAGACTAGAATATAATTGAGTTTTGATAGAATCCAGTATATTTTACGAGACATCACCTGTGTATAAGCTTATTCTCCAATAAGTTATACTGGATAAGTTATAAGACTAGAATATAATTGAATTTTGTTTGAATCCAGAATATTTTACGGGACGTCACCTGTGTGTAATATTTTTTATGTTATACTGGACAAGTTCTAAGACTAGAATATAATTGAGTTTTGTTTGAATCCAGTATATTTTACGGGACATTACCTGTGTGTTAGCTTATTCTCCAGTATGTTATACTGGGTAAGTTCTGCATAAACTAGAATATAATTGAGTTTTATATCAATCCAGTATATTTTACAGGAAATCACCTGTGTTTAAAATTTTCTCCAGTATGTTATACTGGACGAGTTCTATTTAGAGTAGAATATAGTTGAGTTCTATTTAGACTAGAATATAATTTACTGGACGTTTCCAGCTTATTATATTGGAAATCTCATAAAAAATGTATTGTAATTCACTTGAAGTATGTTTCGTTAATGTAGATATTATGTTATAATATAGTTGAGTTTTATTTCAATCCAGAATAATTTAAAGTACGTCACCTGTGTGTAATGTTTTTCTCCAGTATGTTATACTGGACGAATTCTATTTTCAGACTAGATTATAATTGAGTTTTGTTTTAATCCTGTATATTTTACGGGACATCGCCTGTGTCTAAGCTTTTTCTCCAGTATGTTAAACTGAATAAGTTCTAAGACAAGAATATAATTGAGTTTTGTTTTAATCCAGTATATTTTACGGGACATCTCATGTGTGTAAGCTTATTCTCCAGTATGTTATACTGGATAATTTCTAAGACTAGAATATAATTGAGTTTTGATAGAATCCAGTATATTTTACGAGACATCACCTGTGTATAAGCTTATTCTCCAATAAGTTATACTGGATAAGTTATAAGACTAGAATATAATTGAATTTTGTTTGAATCCAGAATATTTTACGGGACATCTCATGTGTGTAAGCTTATTCTCCAGTATGTTATACTGGATAATTTCTAAGACTAGAATATAATTGAGTTTTGATAGAATCCAGTATATTTTACGAGACATCACCTGTGTATAAGCTTATTCTCCAATAAGTTATACTGGATAAGTTATAAGACTAGAATATAATTGAATTTTGTTTGAATCCAGAATA